TATATATATATATATATAATATACACACATATATATGTTGTTAAGTACCCTAGAGAGTGAATTATGACTCATAGAGACCCTGTATAGGGTTTCTTAGGAATGGATGGTGGGTTTGAACCCCCAACCTTACAGTTATCAGTCCAGTGCTTATCCTAGGATTCCTCTCTTAACCATTTTCCATTTACTTAGAAATGTTTTGCCAGGTGAGGGTAAAAAAACACTACAAAATGCATTTTCACATAAAGAAGAATTAATGTTCAATATTTCTAATGACAATTGACAGGGATGTCTGCTCATCTGTAGACAATATGAACCCTAAAGAAGGTAAAATTAGATTGTCAAGTTTCAATAGCCTCATTCTGACCCTCACTAATTTTCAAGGATCATGTGTGAGTTAAGATGCACTGTATATCCTAAGTTCGACCCAAAAGGGTTCTGTGGGTATCTTGCGTGGTCCATCACGTACAGCCTGAGGAAGTGAGCCTCACTGAGAAATGCCAGAAAACAAACAGAATTTAGTGCTTCCAAGTCCTTAGGAAATTACAGCAAAGCCTTGATGCAGGGCAAAGCCTTGGGGGTTTCACACACGGGCAACGCAACAATGTTTTACAAACTCATACTTTAAAATCCTCCACAGCAAGTTTCCCTCATTCTTCTTTTTCAGAATTTCATTCCAACCCATTAACACCATACAGATTATTTTAAAACCTTTTTATACAATTTTTACTGATAAAGTACTTAATAAAAAAAACAAAACTCTATAGTTTAAATTATAAATCTACTCCTGAATTTGGGACATAGATTCACAAAATGCAAAATGCAGTGTTGGGACACAGATTCACATTTTTAGCAAAGTTTTCTTTTTTTTATGAAAGTAAATGTAGTGCATATCATCATCTGCATCAGTAACATTAAACATAAGAACAGTGTCTCCTAGAGGTCGATTCTTTATTAATGATGTGTTGTAACAACAATGGCATATGACTTCAAGTGAAATAAAGGAGGAGAATACTGAAAGTGCCATGGACTGCCAAAAGAACCAATAGATCTGTTTTGGAAGAAGTGCAGCCAGAGTGTTCCTTTGAGGACAAGATGGCTAAACTTTGTCTCTCATACATTGGACATATTGTCAGGAGGGAACAGTCACTGGAGAAGAATATCATGCTTGGTAAGATGGAGGGTCAGAGAAAAAGAGGAAGACCCCTCAACAAGATGGACTGGCCAGGTGGCAGCATTGATGGACTCAAGTGTAGCAGCGGTAGTGAGGTTGGCCCAGGACATTGTTTCGTTCTGCTGTACATGGGGTCGCTATGAGTCAGTTCTGACTCGATGGCACCTAACTACAACAACAGATGGGCTATCATTTACATCTGGTAGCACAGTGGTTACGAATCGGGCTGTAAACCTTAAGGTCAGCAGTTCGAAACTACCAGCTGTCCCGCAGGAGAAAGATGAGGCTTTCTACTCCTGTAAAGATTTACAGCCTAAGAAACCCTGTACAGGGTAACTATGAGTTGGTTCCAACTCCACGGCACATAACCACCATCACCATCATTTACATCGAGTATATTGAAATCACCCCTGATGGTTGTAAATTGTCCTCTTCACCTCCAGCTTGAACAGTGAGGAGATAATATTGTTATGCTTCATAATCTAATACATGAGTCAAACTGAAGACTCCAGTAACTGAATCCAGGAGAAAGATGCATGCCATCATCATCTTCATTTACAATATGTGTGATTTCTCTATTCACACCAGCATTGTCATCTGTAGTTAAAATAACTGCAACCAAAGAACCAAGAGCTGTGACTTCTGGCATGTCAAGAGTACACAGGTCTGGAGAACTTAGGTGTGTGGTCATTCACATCATTGACGGTGATATTAAGCCTCATGTCTGAGGACCGCAGACTACCATCAGCACAAACCAGTAGTGAATATTTGGAATGACATTCCCTATCCAACCTTTTGGTTGCTATCAGATCTCTGGATTCAGGGTCAATATGAAAACCATCATTAGCTCCGCTGACGATAGTGTAGATGACGAGAGCATGTGTACCCTTGCCAGCACCCAGGGCTGTTAGTTGCATAATCTTAGCACCATCTCCAGTGTTCTCCTCCATAGTGAGATCGAGCATGTCTGTTGGAAATATAGGTGGATTGTCACTGTTATTTCCACTTGGTTTCTTTGCGTTCACCCTTAGTTCTGTTTAGGGACAAGGCATTTTATGAAACACAAGTATGATAAAATCAACAACCTGATGGAATGTCTCTCATTTGGGTCTAAGAGAGATCAAACTTCTAAAACTGGCTTCTAGTTTTCTTCCCACTCATGAACACAGATGAACTCTGCGGTGTCATCACCTACTTCTTTCCCGTCAGCGCTCCATCAACAGCATACAATTGAAGTGTGGAGTTCCTCCATCCTTGTTCAACACAGAGGCAGTGACACAACCATATATGCCATAAATACTAGATTCTGCCCCTTCTTGCTGGTATCCAACACCCAACCCTCTTTCCAACAGGTATCTTGGATATCAAGGTCTTCCCAGGTAGATTTGCCCCACTGGGACCTTTTAAATAGTTCTAGGTCACTAATGCTTGGAGAAAATTATACAGGGACTATAAGGATCCTGATGTGGTGCTGCTGTAGGATAAAGTACTAGGCCATAGGTGGGTTTGAACCACAAGGTCAAACTCACCATCTATTCCTTGGAGCCCTATACAGGGTCTCTATGAATTGGAACTGCCTCGACAGAACTTAACAACAACATAACACACCATGGCAGAGGGAAAAGAGAATGGAGAGAATGCTCTAGGGCATAGTAGAGAAATATTCTAGAAAACTCACCTTGACAACAATAATAAATAAAATAGTTGAAAACCAACATATTAGCAAGTTGCATCAATTGTAGGGAAGAGCTGGTATTCAAGTCCTGTGAGTATCCACCAATCACATTGGCTCTTCTTTCTCTTACCTGTTTGGGCTGACACCAGAAGTCTCTGATATAAACAGATGCTAAGTATTTGAGTCCAACTGAAGTGTTCTAAGAGTTCTATTGGCTCATAATATTCTGTCCCTGCCCCGTAGGAACATGGGCCAAACAACTCTGGTGACTGTCTCCATGGTGATGGTAAACATGTCTTTTTCTTGACATGTCTGTTTGGTACAGCATCCAGTCCTTTCAGGAAGAGAGGATGTGGGACCTGACCTGGGGAATGACATTCACTTAAAATCAATGGACACCAGAACATATATAAAGAGTTCACTTCTGGCAAGATGGTGGATGAAGCACACAAACTAAACAGACTTCTACAACAAAGATACAAGACAAAATGAAACAGACACAGATGAAAATCCTGGAACCCTGAACTTCAGAGGAAAGGCTGGAGAAGTGGACCGAGTACTTGCTGAGAGGAGAAGCTGAACAGGGACGGCAAGAAAGGGAGACTGACTGGTGACCAGCTGGTCAGATGTGCGGTGTGACTATCTGGAACATTTATGAGCAGCTTTGACAACAGTGGTGACCTGGCAGAACAGATTCACAGAGGCGACGGAAAAAGGTGCAATTCCTTCTTTTTCCTCATGCTTCCTTGGTAACCAGATGTGTGGCTGGTTCCCAGCTTCATCCACCCCCAGCACAGACCCTCATAATCAGCCACCCTGGTCCCAGCTGCCCTGTGGTCCTAATGGTCCTAACAGACACTGAAACCAGCTCCATCAAGGGCCTGCATGAACTACTTCCGGATTGAGTGCCCTGAACATAGATAACACACAGATCTATAGGAAGCCCACCTAGGACCAGGAACTCCACCCTCCCACATCTACCCAGTGAGCTCCTTGGCAGGAGCACCCCCTTCCCCTCAACAACAGCTGCACTGATTTTTTTGTTTTATTTCTTCCCTTTTGTTGTTTTTGTTCATTCTTTCTTCTTCTCTTTCCATTTCCATGAAATTTTACTATTTCTATCTGTTTTTGTTTTTCCTTCTGTTTTTCATTCCCCTCCTTTTTTCCTTTTGAGTACTCTCTTGTTCTCTTCATCTTCCTGGTTTATCTAAGTTTTGTTTTCCTCTCTCTCTGATTTTTCTCTTTTATAGCTCATTTTTTCCTTTCCCTCTTTTCTTTTTTTTAGTGATTATATTCTTTTTATCTGGTGTTGCCTGTTTTTATTTTTTATTCTTATTTTCATTGATGGTTGCTTGTTTGTTTATTTTGTTTTGTATTCTTGTGTGTGTGTGTGTGTGATCTCTTTCCCATACAACAAGAGATAGCAACCCATACAGCCCAGCCACAAACATACCCTCTGAAGCTCTACCCACTGGGCAGGAGCCAATACCAGCTCCTATACCACCTGCTTGCTGCTAGATCACTCTGATGTTGTTAAAGTGCTCTCAAGTCCATTCTGACTCATATTGACCCTGTATAGGATTTCTGAGGAGTAGCTAGTGGGTTTGAACTGTCAACCTTGAGGTTAGCAGTCTAGTGCTTATCCTATAGTGTCATACCAGGACTCCAATTATTTACACAAGCTAAATCACTCTTATTTTGTTCTTTTTCTTTGTTTTTTGTTTTGTTTTCTTTTCTTTCCTCCTTTTTCTTTTGTGGGAAAGTTCCCAATGATATGTCCTAATGAAAAAATAAATATGTATTGCTTCCTATCAAGTACATGAAAAAAAAAAAAAAAAGCAATTATTTTCTTTTCCTTTTAACTGGTTTCCCTGTCACCCAAGTTAGCACAGGTCTACACTCTGTTGTTGTTGTTAAGTACTATCCAATCAGTTCCAACTCATAGCGACATCTAGCCAGTGAATAATTCTCCTTTCCCTTACTTCTCTGGTAACCATCATAGAATGTTTTTTTAGCATGAAAATCTTTTCTTGACTTTTACATTCGTGGACTCAGACAATATCTGTCTCTTAGCAACCAACTAATTTCACTCAGTATAATATCCTTCATGTTCCTACATGTTAGGCAGTGTTTTGCAGATTCATCGTTTTTCTTCTATGATGTGTAATATTCCATTGTGTATATGCACCACAGTTTGTTGAATCATTTCTCTGCTGATGGGCATCTAGGCTGTCTCCATTTCTTTGCAATTGTGAATAATACTGCAAAGAACATGGGTGTGCACATATCTATTTGTGTCATGGCATTTATACCAAGTCGAGGGATTGCTGGGCATACAAAAATTCTATTTCCAACCTTCTGAGAAAGTGCCATATTGTTTTCCACAGTGGTTGCACAATTTTACAATCCCATCAGCAGAATGAAACACTGCCTGATCCTGGGCCAACCTTGCTATCATTACCATGCTTGAGTCCATAGATGCTGCTACCTGGCCAATCCAACTCATTGGGGGTCTTCCTCTTTTTCTCTGACCCTCCACTTTACCAAACATGATATCCTTCTCCAGAGACTGGTCCCTCCTGACAATATGCCCGAAGTATGAGAGACGAAGTTTGGCCATCCTGGCCTCCAAGGAGCACTCTGGCTGCACTTCTTCCAACACAGATCTGTTGGTTCTATGGGCAGCCAATGGCACTTTCAATATTCTCCTCCAACACCATAACTGAAATGCATCAATTCTTCTACAGTGTTTCTTATTTACTGTCCTTATAGGAATCTGTTAAAGCTAAAATATAACATGAGCTATACAGGAAACAAATCTGTAAAATATTTTGAAAATAGGCATGCATTAAACTTCCCATCTCAACTGGCTGAACTGCAGAGATTTCAAACTGAAGAGAAAAATTAATAAATGCAATCAAGTTGAGAAGTCCATCAAAAATGGTTCCTCAGTTTCATCCCTTCAAAGATTTCCTCCTAGTGTCAAAACAAAATTCTGTAATAAACCCTACAAAGATTTGATCTCTCCATTGCTTACACAACACCAGACAAAACACACTAAAGAAAAGTGTAATGAATGTGGAAAGACTTTTAGCCAATACTCAGTCCTCGTTAAACATGAGTTCATTCTGGGCACACACCTTACAAGTGTAATGAGTGTGGCAAAGCCTTTAAGCAGTTCTCCAACCTTATGAGACATCAGAGAATCCATACTGGGGAGAAGCCATATACATAGAATCTTGGTGGTAAAGTCTTTACTCAGAATTCCCACCTTGTAAGTCATGGTAGAATTCACACTGGTGAGAAACCACACAAATGTAATGTGTGTGGCAAAGTCTTTAATCAAAACTCCCACCTTGCAAATCATTGCAGAATTCATACTGGCGAGAAATCTTACACATGTATGAAATGTGGTAAGGCATTTAACAAATGTTCATACCTTTGGGATGATGAAAGAATTCATATTGGAGAGACACCTTACAAATGCAATGAATGTGGCAAAGCCTTTAAGCATTACTCACACCTCATTAAAGGAGCTCTGGTAGCGTAGTGGTTATGAATCGGGCTGCTAACCTCAGGGTCAGGAGTTCGAAACTACCAGCTGTTCCATGGGAGAAAGATGAGGCTTTCTGCTCCCATAAAGATTTTCAGCCTCGGAAACCTGGAGAACAACACACCTCATTAAACATCAGAATATATATCCTGGAGAGAACCCACATAAATGTAATGCGTGTGGCAAGGCTTTTATTCACAGTTCAAGTCTTGTGAAACATCAGAGGATTCATACTGGAGAGAAGTCATAAAGATGTAAGGAATGTGGTAAAGCTTATTTCCAAAGTTCAAGCCTTTTGCAACATCAGAGAATTCATACTGATGAGACACCACACAAATGTACAGAGCATGACAAAAATTTGACCATACGTTCAAGCCTGACTAAACATAAAACATACCAGAGAAAAACCTTATAAATGTGATGAATGTGGCAAAGCCTATATATACCCAAGTGACAGAGTTTAGCAGACATCAGAAAACACATTCTGAAAAACCCCCCACTGGGAATCAGATCTATGTAGCAATACCTTCATCCAAAGCTCAAGCCTTAGGGAGCATCAGAGAAGACACAGTAGAGGGAAACCTTACAAATGTGATGTGTGGCAAATGCTTTAAGTGGTCTTCGTGCCTTACTCAACATCAGAGAATCCATACTGGAGAGAAACCATATAGAAGTAATGTTTGCGGCAAGGCCTCTAGCCAGAACTCAAGCGTCACAATTCATCAGAGAATTCATACTGGAGAGCAACCATACAAATGTAATGAATGGTGAAGCCTTTAAGCAAGCCTCACTACACATCAGAATATACATGCTGGAGAGAAACCTTACTAATGTAATTTGTATGGCAAGGCTTTTATTAAACGTTCGCACCTTTGGGCTCATGAGAAAATTCATACTGGAGAGAAACCTTAGAATGTAGTGAGTGTAGTCAATCATTTGACAAAGACTCCCAGTGGACTACACATCAAAATTCACACTAGAGAAATTTAGTCTGTTTCTCAAAGATGAATCAACTCAAATATTAAGTCCTACACAGTCCTGGTGTGGTGCTGCTGGTTAATGCACTGGACTGCAAAGTCAGCTTGAACTGCAAAGTCAGCGGTTCAAGCCCACCAGTCGCTCCTTGGAAACCCTATACTAGGTCGCTATGGGTTGGAACTGACTTGATGGCACTTAACAACAGCAACACACAGTAATTCAAGTCAAAATAATTTAAAACAAATAGCTGATGGGTGTCGATGGAACAAGATGCATGGAAAGACACAATCATTTCATTTTGTAATGTATTTTTTGTTGTTTTTTATATATTACTCTTGGCTACTTTCAGACTGCTGTTTTGTCTTTATCACAAGCCTTTCATGGGTCATCCTGATGATTTCTGTGAAGGGATTGATATGGAAGGGCTTACTTAATTAGGTGAGATTCATTGGTAGCCATGTTTCCTGGAATAACAAGGATATCAAATTTTCAGATGAAATATTTTATGAGTTTGAAGGAATGCAAGGGGAGAGGCAGAAAGTATGTTAAAAAAACTATAATGTAAATCATGATTAATGTATTCAGGGTCCTTATCTGCTCATTTGTTGGTATGACAGAAAGTCAATGGATTACTGGAAAGGATTATAGTTGATAAACTGAGATTTTCATGGAAGCCGACTGATAATTTATCTGGAGCTGCTTATGTGGCAGAAATAATGGAGAAGAAATGGTCATGCTGCCTCTTAAAATAGTTTTATATATCTAAGATTAGTAATAACTTAGTCTCAAGTTTTAGAAATGGAAGAGAGCCAATTATCAGAAGGCGAGCTTAATAGCTGTAGGATTCCCCTTTCACCATTAATAAATATCATCGACATAAACATGACTATCATGTGGACCTCACTGGATAGAATATAGAGGAGTCAAAGTTATTACATCTGTGAAAGAGACGATAGAGAAGTTCAGTATCATCAGTCAGGACAAGACCAGGGACTGACTATGAAACATCATCAATTGCTCATATGTAAGCTAAAATTGAAGCTGAAGAAAAATATATAAAGGTTATACTTTAATAGAATATAATAATAAGTATATGCCACTTGAATTTAGACACCATGTCAAGAATAGATTTGACACGAATGACCAAAGACCATGAATTGTGGGAAGACATCAAAGACATCACACACAAAGAAAGCAAAAAGATCATTACAAAGCTAGAAAAAAAGAGACCAAAATGAATATTAGAAGAGATTCTGAAACTTGCTATTGAACTCAGAGTAGCTAAAGCAAAGGAAGTAAAAGAGTTGAGCAAAAGGTTTCAAGGGGGTGGCTTCAGAAGACAAAATAAAATATTATAATGAGATGTAGATAAACATGAAATTAGAAAACCAAAAGGGAAGAACACACATGACATTTCTCAAACTGAATGAAATTACTCAATCTGAAAGAATTGGAGAAAAAAATTCAAGTTTGAGTTGTAATATCGAAGGGTTTTACAGGCAAAATTCATGCAACAGTGTAAGAACCATCAAAAGTAAATGGAAGGAATATACAAAGCCACTGGACCAAAAAGAATTGGTCAACATTCAATGATTTCAGGAGATAGCATATGATTAAAAACTGATAATACTGAAGAAGTCCAAGCTGCATTGATGGCATTGGTGGAAAACAAGACACCAGGAATTGATGGAATATAAATTGAGACGTTTAAACAAATGGGAAGCAATATTGGAGGTACTCACTTGTGTATGCCGGGAAACTTGGAAGATAGCCATCTGGCCAATTGACTGGGAAAGATCCGTTGTCACGCCCATTCCAATGACAAGTGATGTAACTGAAAGCAGAAATGACAGAGCAACATAATTGACATCACACTCAAATAGAATGATGCTGAAGGTAATTCAAAATGGCTGCGACAACACATCAGCAAAGAACTGCCAGCATTTCAGGCTGGGTTCAGAAGAGGACATGGAACAAAGGGAGATTACTGCTGATACCAGATGGATCTTGGCTGAAAGCAGAGAATACCAGAAAAATGTTTACCTGTGCTTTATTGACTATGCAAAGACATTCATATGCAGATAATAACAAATTATGGGTAATACTGCAAAGACTGTGAATTCCAGAACACTACTGTGTTCATGCAGAGCCTGCATATAGACGAAGGGGCAGTTGTTCAAACAGGGCAAGAGCATACTGCCGATCTTGAGGTTAGCAGCCCAATTCATAACCATTACGCTACCAGAGGTGGAGAAGGATATTACGCTTGTTAAGGTGGGGGGGGGGTCAGAGAAAATGAGGAAGACCCCCAGTGAGATGGATTGGCCAAGTGGCAGCATCCATGGGCCCAAGTGTGGTAACACTAGTGAGGTTGGCCCAGGATCGGGCATGTTTCGTTCTGCTGTGCATAAGGTCGCTATGAGTTGGCACCGACTCGATGGCACCTAACAACAACAACAACATTAATAATAACCAACATGAGTCGAATTTCCAAAATGCAAAGGTAACTCCCTATTTTCCCACTTCTCCATCTCTGACATCAGCCACTGTCAGGATGTTTTTAATCTTTGCCTCTGTTAGCCTCACTGATTTTCTGGAAACACTCACAGAACTTACAGACTGCCTCCACTTATAGTCACCCATTTGAAGAGACACTTCAGGAAGGTCTTGGAGACATTCTGGCTCTCACTGTGTGGATGTGAATTTGAACTGCTGACTTTGTGGTTAGCAGCCCTACGCTAACTCACAATGCCACCGGGGTTTCTTCCATGAAGATTACAGTCAAGAATACTCATACTCTGTCACATGGGAAATACTGAGTTGGAAGGGACTCAACAGTCTTCAATAACAGCAACATGACGTTTTTGTTGCCTGGTTGTTTTATAAAACCAAGGTTTCTTTGATTACTGGCAAATTCCAAGAGTTATTTTCAGGAACTAGAGACAAAAGGTTAAAGTGAATTGTTCCACTGTGAGTATTTTCCATTTCAGTATAAGAGGTAGACTCTTCAAGGAAAGGAAATTATCTGAAGAGTCCAAGTTATGCTTGGAAAAGAAATGCATTAGGGCTGAAACTGATCCAGTGCCGAAGCTACAGATAAAGGAGGAATAATTCCTAAGTTACATGTTGAACTTCTGAAGAGAGACTGTTGTTAAGTGGCATCGAGTTGATTCCCACCCATAGCGACTTTGCGTAAGGTTTCCAAGGAGCAGCTGATGATCTTGCACCACCGACTTTGCAGTTCAAACGACTGTAGTTGGACACATTAGCCCACAGCATCACACCAGGACTCCTAAAACTTTAGTAAGCGTTTGCTACTGGGAATTTAATAGCAAGTGGACGGATTATGATTTGAAATCGACTTGACCAGCAGTGGGTTTTGGAAAACAGCAGATTTTAGTTGGTATAGTTCATGTTTCCATACAGGAGACTCTGTGAATAGGAATACCAACCTCTGGAAGGTGCTCATCAATATCTGCTGCCTGGACCATGCCCATAAATCTGATGGTAATGAATATTGGGATATTCATATGTGGGAGAGAGACAGCCAGACCCTGATACTTACGATATTTTGGTATCACACTTCACTTCCCAGGTATTGGGAGAGGATCGTTCCTTTCCAGGATCCTAGGAGGGAGTACTGGTGTGGCGCTGTGGGTAAACGCGCTGGACTGCAAATTCGCTTTGAATCGCAAGGTCGGCGGTTCAAGCTCACCAGCTGCTCTTTGGAAATCTTATACAGGGTCACTTTGGGTCGGAACCGACTCGATGGCACTTAACAACAGGAGGGAGACTCGATGGTGAAAGCAAGCAATCAAGAACATGACATCAAGAGTCAATATTAAAAATCATTACAGACCGGTTTGTACGATTCAGTGACAATTAACATGTAAACATAGGTAAAAGGGATATTTTCTGAGTCGTTTGTATCTCATAGGACAAAATAGCTTGCAAAAATAACTTTTGACTGAAACCGTTTTCAACGATGAAAACATCGTGTCTCACACATCTCTAAGCTTTTACCCTCAAACGGTCTGAGACACTAACTTAAAATAACCTTTCTTCACAGGGCATCGAAAAGAGGTTCTTGCTCGCATACCTGTATAAGGAAACTTCCGGGAAACAGCGCCCAGGAAAGCCCCGCCCTAGCCAGGCTCCACTCCTGGCCTCGCCCATTGGCTGTGCGTCCCTCCCAGGCCCCGCCCCCACCCCGCCACGTAGCTTCTCGCCGCGCGCCTGCGTAGTTTATTTCAGACGCGGAAGCGGGTGGCGCGGAGTGAAATTAAGAGTGAGGTAAGTGAGTAACCGTCTTTTTGGATCAAATCTGCTCATCGCGCCCTCCTGTCCTCCACATTACGGATTCAATGGTCCCTGCAGACGTTAAGGTCCCTGCTCCTGCTCTTCCCACACCCGGAAAATCCCGTGGGACTTTCCGGCCCTCAGGATCTGCCACCGGCCGGGCGCCGGAGTCGGATCCCCGCCTCGGCCTTTTTGCCCGCGGGCCGTGAAGACGACGTCTGCCCCGTCGTTTTCCCGCTGAAAACCTTCCTCTGCCCCCACCCACACTACGCCGGGTCACATCTTCGCCCGGAGATGGGGTCGGCCACTGTCGCCCATTGAGGGTAACTCTGACCCACCTCTCCGTGGGCAGTTCTGGACTTCTTTCTGGGTCTGGATCTCTGAGACCCCCACGTCTCTCCTGAAACCCACACCTCTCTCCTGATACCCTGACCTCACCTTCGTGGTTCCTACTTCCTTCCTGATCCGCGACTGGGAAGGGCTTCCGTCCTGTGACATCTTGTCGTGGTTCATTTTCTTCGTCCCAGATCCCAGCCCCTGACAAGTGCGCTTTTCCTGGGCAGCAGGCACGTCATTTCATCCCTGTGCACCTGAGATAGAGACAGAGCCACTATGAGAGACATTCAACTGTTTGGAGAAGAGAAAACGGAGGGAGAGCCACAGTCAGATGGCTCAGTAGAGGCTGGGGGGCGGCG